GTAAGGACGGTAGTATTGTCAGTTATGGTGTGAAATTTGGTCAACATCGCGGATGATTACGTAACTGGGGTACCCTCTCCCCTGGGATCGAAAGCCAACTAGTACAACTAGTAGTCATTCTTCTGGATGGATATCATCGTCAACATGAATACCATGGCAGAATATGAACAGAGACCTCAGAGCATGTAAATACGAGATACTTGAAAAAAATTACATAATTATTTTAGATTAGGTGGTTTTGTTCAAGTCAGTTATTCTTACAGAAACTCTAAAGGTGCTCGTAAAATGTATAACAATATAAATTATTTATTAATATTATATTACAGACGTTTTTTATATCAATTCGTACAATCGACAAATCGTTTTTTTTTTGGTATTATAAAATAATTTCCCTGTTGAAATACGAGTTTATCTTTTACATCATCATCGCCCTCCTCCCTTATTCATTTTATTTGTGGTCTGCGCAATTCATTACATTGCAAAGGGTTAACAAGACCTTATAAAAACCGACGTTACGTTACGTTACGTATACTTTTGTTACTTTTCACAGAGTGAGTTACTAGAGCCCAAACTTCCCCTTTTCTTTTGCTGTGCGGAAATCCCCTCGGATACCACCCATTGGTGGGATGGTTATGTCAGTTTTGAACCGACCAAAAACCGCACGCCGTCTTGGGTACCAGTTGCCAGGGAACCAGGTGTACCCTAGAAAGGAAGCTCAAACCTCTCCTGATGCTGGGGGGGGGGGGGAGAGACTCAAAGGCGACAAAGCACTTGTGGCTCTTGAGATGCAGGTGTTCATGGGCGACGGTAGTCACTTATCATTAGGTGACCCGCCTGCTCTTTTGCCCCATATGCCATAAAAATGGGTGAGGAAAACACGTAAGGTGTGGGATACTACAGATATGTGATGAATATCGCTGGTCGATACCTGTATGTTCGTCCTATGATTGGAGACCCATAAGGACAGTGATATGAGTTAATTTTGTTTATGTTTATTCTTATTTTTATTATTTACAATTTAAGGAAAATATCACCATCTTTTATCTTGTAAGGTGTAAAATGTAAGGTGTTTTAAAGATTCTTTAGAACAGTATATCTTTAAAATACTTTTTTTGGAATAGCAAAATAAGCAATTTTCTCGATGAGTAATTTGCTTAATATTAGTTTTTAAATTTAAACACATACTTTACATTTCCTGTAATGTAGGTAATAGGGGTTGAAAATATGCAGTTACCTGTGAAATTATTTACAGGTTAAAGCATAGCTGGCTTAAAAATTACACTTAGTAAATAGGAATTCTTCGTAAATCATAATTATAAAATTTATTTTCAGCACATTTTATTATCTCTAGAAAGGGCAGAAGAATGATAGAGATCAATGGATACACTTACGCCGCAATTCCTTCTAAAAGCTTGAAGAAGAGGTGGAGATGTTCTACTCACATGAAAAAGGGCTGCCGAAGCTTCATTATAACTTTAGACGATACTGTCATTGCAGGTTGTGATAGGCATAATCACCCATCACCGTTGGCAGACAGAAAGGAACTGTTGTTTAATTTTGTCAATGAATAAGTACCCAGAGGAAATAAAAATTGTTTCATCACTGTCCTTTAATTTTATACATATTTAATTTAAAAAAAGTCCTTTACATTTTTCTACATAAGACGGCTGAATGACGTACTGAATGATGTATGACGTAGACTCCATTTAGAGGACGGCGCTGACCGTGCGTCGATTGCATCTTTTTTTTGGCAAGAGTCCTTGGGAGTAACTCGCGTTGTCAACAGTTCAACTCAAGTTCGATGCAAATGGACTTTATTATAAAATAGTTAAACTAAAAACCAAAAAAAATGGTCCTTTCAATTCGGATTTATTTACTGTATTTCTTTAAAAAAAACTACGAGATCTATATGTAATGAAATGTCATGCTATGTGAAATGATATACGGACTTATAATTATTTAGCCGAATGCTTTTATAAAAATCATGTTTTCAAGTTATTTCATTTAGATGGATCGTTTTATTTATCATGTGTGTAAATGACGACTGGATGGCGTAGTGGTTTGCGTAACGGACTGCTATTCCAAAGGTCGCGGGTTCGATTCCCGCTCAAGTCAAACATTTGTGTGCATGAACATTTGGTGTTTGATTTGGTCTGGGTGTTTCTATGTATAATATGTATGTATTTACAAAAAAAAAAAGTATAAATGTATTTATATCAGTTGTCTAGTACCCATAGTACAAGCTCTGCTTAGTTTGGGACTAGATGGCGTTGTGTGTATGTGGTAGAATATAAAAAAAAAAAAAAAAAAAAACAGCGTGCTGCATGAACGGCAAACCTTTAACCTTATAACGTCTCTTTTATATAAAAACGACTGAATGACTTGAACAAAATGCTTCATCTTGGTGACGCGTGTAAGCGGCTCCTTTTAAGTACTTTTCACCGAGTGAGTTACTAGAGCCCAAACTTTCCCTTTTTTTTGCTGTGCTGAAATCCCCTCGGATGCTACCGGTGGCTATGTCAGACTCGAATCGACTAAAAACCGCACGCCCTCTCGGGTACCAGTAGTCGGGGAACCAGGTGTACCCTAGAAAGGAAATCCCTGGTACCCCTACGTACGAGTACCTCGGGTCATCTACGGCATGTAGATGACCCCCTCCTGGCCTATTAAGTACCTACATGCTGTAGAAATACCTTGTGGTGACTGATAAATATATTGTGGTGAAATGTCTGCAAGAAGAGCTCTTTTTATTTTTATTCTTCTTCTATTATCTCTTTTTATTAAATGGTAGAAGATGAGAAGACCGATGAAGGTGTTCACACAAAGTTATGATTGAATAAATGAAAATGAGCAGCCACAATGAGAGGTATTTTATCCTGGTGGTAATAGGGCCATCATCATTATTTTAGTTGCGGACATTGGGGTTACATATATGTCTACTATAATGGCAATACCAACAATATAGTATAAAAAGCGTTGTGTGGAATAATACTTTCCGAATTTTCTTCAAACTATTTGGAGAATTTTTGTAGTGTAATAAATTATTTTCATTAATAATTGGAAACATGATGTTCTTCTTAAAATTTGTTCTAAACAGTTTATTGTTTTGATAATAATTTCCTAGAAACTACCTTTTCTAGCAATCTTTTAAAACTGTGAATCATGCTTCAACGCAAAACACAAAATTATTAATCATAAATGTTTTTTTTGTTATAAAAATTGTTAAGCATAAACGATTAATTACGTTAAGACCATCCGGTGTTGTGTGTACATCTAATAAAAGACTTTGCATTATTTCAGGTTTTCGTTTCATCGTTTCTCGAAGAGGAAGACAACTTATTCAACTTAACAGATACACGTACTCAGCAAGACCGGCCAGAGGTCGGAAGGTCAGGTGGAGATGTTCTACGCACTCGCCGGTTGGCTGCCATGCTCACGTTTATACTCTTGACGATCAAGTGATCGTCGTTGATGGAGACCACAACCACCCTCCACCTAGGTGATGAAGAGTAAAAAGAATATAAATAAGTACTTAAAAGTTGTGTGTATATATGTTACACTATAAGGTACCGTACCTTATAGTGTAACATATACTTACTTAATAAGTATAACTTACTTTAATAAGTATTAGTTTAGAAAAATGCTTTTCTTTCAAGTTCATATAAAATTATATAAACAAACGTTCATTTAGTAAAGATTTTTATGATAATTTATATGTACGGGAATTAAAGTGATTACGTGAAACTATATATATAGGTATATAGTTGTACATCTTGAAACGCGAAAGTTTAAAAGTTTTTATGTTGATGTTATTATCTTATGCTCTCATTAATCTTACGATGCAATTAGATAATTAGGACTATGTAAAAAAAAATGTCCAATATTTGGAAAGACATTAAAGTACAATACTTTAAAGGTCATATTTTTTCCTGGACTGAACACTTTTAAAAACAGATCTTATTTACATGTTATGTAAAACAAATATATAGTTATATTAATTAGTTCAGGGTAGGGTTATTACTTTTATTTTTAGTCACACTTTTCAAGAGTTCAGTATAATTTATCTAATTATTCAGCTGTCTAACAATAAAAAATGTTCTGTGGATCTTTACCCTTATAAGATATGGTGTTTTAATTTTTTACTTAACCTGTTTGCAATTGCACTTATTTATTGTAATAAAATGTAAAATGTGTGTTTTTAATACGATATGTTTTTGTTTTATTTCAGGTGATATTGTTATTTGAAAAAATATAATAATACCCTGAATTATATGTTATCTATTAAAATATATTACCAATCTCTTTTATTCCTTTTTTGACGAATTTCAACCTCATTTTTCCAAGTTCTAGTTCAAGTAATGCATGTGAACGCTCGTCTGATAGAACCCTGTTTGTGTTATTTGCACGAAACTCTAAATTAAAAAAAAAAAAAAAATAACAACAACAAACCCAATTCCAAAATAGTTTTTGAATCAATTTTTTATATAGCGTTTAACTTTTGTAACATTATAAACAAAATGGAAAACAACAAGTCACAAATAATCACCATAAAATATACTTCAGTAGAAACATGTTTCTAGCTTAAAAGATGACAACATATTTCTATCTGTATTTGTATTCATAATACTGATCTTTCAATGCACTGTCAAGAAAGTTTGACAAATTTAATTCATCGTGATAATTGCCGAGCAGGAGCGTCAGCAATTAGCAGATATTAAGGAGCCTCTTCTTCCTAGGTATTGTTACAATATACCCTGAATAATGAAATTGACAGGCTTTACTGGCCTGATATCTACGGGGGCCCTATTCTGTCAGATTTCACTCGTAATATAATTGAACTCACTTTGGAAATGATGTTGTTGATGATGATCTATTTTGAAGTCTATAAATAGTTTCAAATCACAAGTAAAATTATTTCTTAATGTTGTGTACCGTGTCGTGGTTTATATCTATATTTAATTTTAACATTGAACTTTCTTTTGATTACAGATTTATTAGGAATGCAAATGCGGGACAGATTTTTATATGAAATATATCAAAGCGAAAACCGCAAGTCGTCTCACTACAAGGTATTGACAAGAGAAAAATATATAAATTTGATTGAGCAGGTTGAGGAGGCTGAACTTGCTGAGAAGAAGACTCCAATGCAATATAGACGGCTGAAGCGATTCGGTGTGATCAATATTGGGAATGAAAAGAAACTCGTTGCTAGAGGAGATGGAAATTTAAGGTATTTTTTACCAGCGGATGAGCTATTTGATGTGATTGATGGGATCCATGATGCTATTGGTCATGCTGGTCGCGACAAAATGTTGGCTGAAGCGACACAGAGCTTTGCAAATATCACCAAAGAAATGGTATGTTTATACTTATCGATGTGTGAGATTTGTCATCAGCGGAAAGTTAAAAAAAGTAGCTTTTAATCACGAGACTATTTAGATTTCGCGTTTATTTAGAGAACAGATACATAATACACATGTAAACCATGATCAGTGATATTAATATTGGTGTTATTAATAGTATTCACGTAAACGTGTGTTTTTGTCAAGAGAAGTGAAATAATATATACTGTAAACTATTTTATTATAATATGTGTGTTCTACCAACTTATTATTATTTATTTATTTGTAGTTTGAATGTAATTGCCACATATGAGTATATTTTTATATGTGTACCTGCAATTCCGATGTACCTATCCTACTTTCCAAAAAATGTAATCTATAAGATACATAATATAGAGTTGTTGTTTAATAAAGGCTCTGTACGAAAATGTGCATTAAATTAAATGTGTAAGGAAAATCCAGTTATTTAAACCTTTCCGAAAATATCTACAGAATAATCATAAACGGGGGATTTTTTTATAGATTTATTTAGTACCAGTAAAATAGCTGTACTAATAAAATTGTTTATTTGTTTTATTTATATATTTTATTGAAATTAACATAATAAATATTATAATGAGACCCAGCTATTGAAATCACTGGAAACGATAGACTATGAGAGTGTAATAGAATATTAAAGATCAGAATATCGAGATCCTGTAGAGTTAAAACCTAAGCGTAAACTCAACCATCCAAGAACGCTTGGAGACACAAGGAACGAAAACTGGGCAGAGAGAGAGAGACGTTGTAGTGACGTCACACAGAAAAAAGTTCTTGAGATATTTTACAGCTTAACTTAATTATGCATTGCTTTACATTGAGTAGTTTATAACTGAATGGTTTGGCATGTAAAGAGTTGCGACATATTCTTAATCCTATATTTATTTTTATTACACTGTCAGTTATGTCAGTTATGTATTATAGCGATTGATGTTTTTAATCTGATTTTTATACAAAAGTATACTTACTTTCATAGCTCAGCAGTTCTTCATTGTGAACAGACGTATTTATAAATTAATAATAAAATAGCAAATAATTTACCTAAATCGTGACCTCGTTTTCACCGACAACTGGTTTTAACGGCCACTGTGTCAAGTGCTTAGTACATAATGTTGTGTAAATTGGAAATAATGTTCTATAATTAGAATAGACTTTATATTTAATAATGGACGTAGTCCATTTTACAGGAGTAACAGGATCGCCTGCACAAGGCCGCCGCCATATGACATAGAGTACACCATTGATGAATCGTCCAAACATACATTCGGAACATAATTTGGCGATATGTTTAAAAAGAGTGCATACAATCATATACCAAAGACAAGCTTGAGTTCCGTGGCTATTTATCAAAATGATAAAAGCAAATCAAGGGATGATACCAAGTCATTAGTGCAAAAAAATATCTGCCAAGGGAGATATTAAAAATTTATTACAATTTGTTCTATTATATCTAATAATATAGTTCTAATAATTATTAAATTTAAATGCAAAGTGTTACGCTGTGTTTAAACTTGAAACCTAATTTTAAGCCATACAACCAAGTTTACTTTATGGAAAAAAGGTTACCTGAGAAATCTCTGCAATAAGATGTGTAGAAACGCACAACGCCAACATATCCACTCTTCCGTAGAAAACGGAGATCCAGCAAAAGTCTGGAAATTTCTAAGAACATTGGGAGTCGGGAGGTCTCGCCAAGAGCCTATTCCCAAAAATGTCAACATTGACTTACTCAATAAACATTTCTCTGCCTCGTCTGACATTAGTGACAGTACAAAAGCTAATACTCTTAGATATATTTCTACTACCCCAACTCCCAACTATCCACCTCTCGTCTTTGATCAGTTGTCCGCTTGTGATGTTAGGAAGACCATTCTGGCGATCTCATCCAACGCAGTGGGAAGTGACTGCATCAGCCGAAATATGATTATACCTATCCTTGACGAAATTCTACTTATCCTATGCAATATCCTTAATCACTCCGTCACAAGCGGTGTTTTTCCATCTGCATGGAAAGATGCCCAAGTAATCCCTCTTCCAAAAAAAACTAAACCCTCTTCATTTTCTGACTATCGGCCCATATCTATTTTACCTTTCCTATCCAAAGTACTTGAACGCCTCATCCACTCTCAACTGACTAACTTTCTCTCCAAAAATGCTCTACTGAACCCCTTCCAATCCGGATTTCGTCCTGGCCATAGCACTACTTCTGCGCTGGTACACATTACAGACAGCATCAGACTAGGCATGGATAGTGGAAAGATCACAGTTCTCACCTTACTTGATTTTAGCAATGCCTTCAATACTGTGGATTTTCACATTCTGCTTGGCATACTACGGTCTCTTAACATATCTCCAAGGACAATTGATTGGTTTCAAAGTTACCTGTCTGGTCGCCGGCAACGGATTTGCATTGATGACTCCATGTCCTCTTGGTGCAGTATTTCTGCTGGTGTACCGCAGGGTGGCGTTCTATCTCCTTTACTCTTCGCTGTTTTTATAAACTCAATCTCTAATCAACTAAGTTCCTTCTACCACCTTTATGCAGATGATTTGCAAATATATACACAAGCTCCGATTAACATGTTATCGGATGCATTCAACATAATTAACGCTGACCTTCAACGCATTGGCGAGTGGAGTTATAACTATGGACTTATGATTAATCCTAAGAAGACACAGGTGTGTGTTATCGGCAGCCCCAGGCTGATCTCAAAAGTTAACTGGACTCTACTGCCCCAAATTCAGTTCGGTGGCACAACTCTTGAGATAAGCACTACTGTAAAAAATTTAGGGATCTACATAGACAACACTTTGTCATGGGGTCCACAGATGCAAGAGGTCAGTCGTAGGATATTTGCTTCAGCCGGTTCTCTTCGAAGACTACGCAAATTCCTTCCAACTGCAACTAGGGTTGCGCTTGCACAAGCACTTCTCCTCCCAATTCTCGACTATGCCGATGTCAGCTATCTGAATCTCACTGAAGCACAACTCGATAAGCTTGAGCGACTACAAAATATGTGATAATATAATTCCGTCAAATGCTCAAGTGGCTTCCAATTCGCTCTCGCCGGAATACTCATATCCTTATTTTCCTTTACAACATTTTGTTTAATCCCAAAACCCCTTTCTACCTCAAAGAACGATTCAAGTTCCTTAATGACACACACGAAAAATGTCTGCGGTCATCCGTAAGTTTACAACTGGAGATGCCACTGCATTCCACCAAATTTTATGACCAATCCTTCACTGTTGAAGCTGTGCGCTTGTGGAATGCACTGCCGCTTAACATCAGGCAGGCGCAAACATTAAATAGATTCAAGAAAATGGTACAGGAATTTTATTCACCTTAAGAGTCCATCACGCTTGAGGGTGTAACGAAACTGTTTCTCTTTTCTATATGTTTATTCATTTAAGAATGCGTATATATATATGTATGTGTATATGTATATCTGCTGGTATAGTATGTGGGTACTTATATATATGTAGGTTTATTTATTGTGATATGCATTGTAGATGTAAGTATAAAAAATTGTAAATGTTTGTAGATGACATGATATGTGTAGTATATGTAATATGTATAGTGGATAATGGTAAACAAATAGTAGGTTCACAACAATTCAACTACTACTGTCTCTCTGCAACTTTTGATCCATCCTAAGGTTGCCTGGAAGAAATTGCATTTAGCAATAAGGCCGCCCTTTGTACACTCGATATTTGATCGTTGTGTTCCTTTCTTGAAACTCTGTAATTTAGTGTGCAAATAAAGAGTTATCTATCTATCTATCTATCTATCTATCTATTTACCTCCAAACAAAACAAGAACTGGAATACACATCATACATTTCTACACACACACATACTTAAATAAACAGACTGAATATCTAACACACGCACGCTCCCTTTGCTAGTTTGTTATTTAGTGTAAAGAGTATGTAGCTATTTAGTGGCCAGAGCGAGAAACCACTGAAGACTCAAAGCGTAGGTTCGTATCTAGTTTGAGGGTCAGAGGCAACCCGTCCCTTGCCCAATGTAACTAATGTGTGTACTTTAATATATTTCAAGCAGACAATAGGCACTAATTTAGTAATATTAGATTAGATTATCATTCAGGTAATGAATAATTTATTATTTTTATTACTTTTAATATTTCAGTATCTAAATCGAATACTCTGAATTTCAGTGGAGTTCGTACGATCAAAGAAGGGAAAAATTTTGATCAAGTTGCTCGGCTATACTTATTATTCTACTAAAAATAGCTCTGGTAATAGAGTGACCTGGCGCTGTTCTACACACAATTCGCAGGGATGTAAAGCTACTGTGTTGACAGTGGATGATGAGATTGTTGTTGTGAAGAATCAGCATAATCATTTACCTCCCCCTAAAAACTTTTTATAGATAATAAATAGTCTAATTAAAAAAAATACATTGCAAAAGAACGCTGATATGTAATTTTATTTCTGGATCCCTCTTTACCTTATGTAACTTTTTTTACCTTATTTATTACAAACAAGAAAACATTAAATAATACTGAGACCGACTTGTAGTAGTATAATTATAATTATATACCTCGAAATGAATTGGAAATAGAATTGCAGTCTTTACCAATAAATTTAGGCTTATGTTTAACTTACCATCAGACACAGCAAAATATCATGTCAAAGTAAAGTAATTGATAAAAAAAAAGTAATTGATCACCAAAAATTAAAACCGCATTTTAATGTGAAAGTTTAACCAAAAATAACATTTGCTCTCCTACTAAAATTAATAACTCACAAAATAATCATAATTAACCCCAAAATTACCAAAAATTAACTGCATTTTTATCTCATTCGGGAAGGAAGTGCCACTTTCCTGGTGGTTTAAAAAGAAATACCCAAAATTTAAACAAAGTCAAAAGTAATAATGCATTAGTTTGCTCGCTGAGATTGGGTGATCATTTGCTACATTTGGTGTTCGAATACAATTTAAAGTGCAGTCATGACTAAAACAGCTAGAACCATTGCAATTGAAGACTATCTTTATTTAGAGCTCCAAATTATTTTTTGGTGGTCATTATATTTAATCCCTCAAATTTTTTGCCTACAAAGTGACATTGGCAAAAACAATTAATGACATTAAACTTTTTTAAATATTTTATTGATTTATATTACTAGATACAGAGTTAAATACAATGGTTACCTTGTGTTTTTTTTTTTCAAATAAAATAAGTAACTTGTAAGTATTATAATTAAAACACTGATTACCATAAATGTTATTGTATTTATATTTAGAACTAAACTGTTAAAATGAAAATCACATTTAAATTACTACTTTTTTAGCGTTCAAAAGAATTATGTTTAACATTATTTTATCATTTCAGACGGTATACAGTGTTTGTTAAAAACACGCACTCCTAGATACCGACGGTATAGTGACAATAGAGTTTATGATAGATCTAACAAAACATTTGTGGTGCTCATGAAAACCCTATTACCTGAAAACTGTGACTTTATGAAATTACAACAACGCGTCGACAATTTATGACAAATAATAACATTGCTTTAGACCTCCACAGACAAATGCAGCTCGACAAAGTTGATAAGAAATTATTTTTCAAATTTTGTAAAAGAGGCTTAACTTCTTATTGAAACTTGTGTTTTTGAAGTCGGTTAAAATACCTAGATTTACGTCTATCTATATACTTTTTTCGTAAAACATTTCAGTACTATTTGTCTATTTAATTTAATAATATTCGATGTTGTTTCTTTATTTTATAAAACAATACTGTTTGTCACCAAATATAACACCTACTTTTACAATTGGACATAGCTGTGGCACGTTAAGAGTCTTGGATTGTTCTACCATGGCTTGGGATGGCGTCAGAATCGAGTTGTCACCCGCATGTCAAGGATTTATTGCAGTAAACGTCACAGGGACTCACAAATTAGTACATGTCTGACCGTTATCGATATATGTATCGATTAATAAATGACTACCCAAGATCGGGATAGTTACCAGACGTACCTTAGATGGGGCCTTTATTCAGCAGTGGACGGCAATACCCTGGCGATGATGATCGTAACTGAACATTCATCAGTCAATGGGAATATGTTCACATATATTAAGAAGAAATTAGAACTAAAGATCATCATCATAATATATATGCTTAAAGTAAAAATGTACATTTCATCATTCTATGGATCATCCCACTGATCATTGGACTCATTAATTACTCGTATAAATTGCATTTATAGAGGCTATCTACAAATGCAATTTATAAATAAAGATATTTTGAGTTTGACTCTGGTGATTTTACTTATATTTTTCTGTCCTAATAATACCGCATATAGGATAAGGGTCTATGGCAGTATAGCAACAATACTAATTTTATTTTCATTTCAGCTCAAATCATGAAAACAACGAAAGGTAAAAGTTTGATGTGGATCAGTGGCTATACATACCGCGCCACTAATTCTGAGCCGAGGAAAATTCGACGTTGGCAGTGTTCCACTTACTTCAATGAAGGTTGCAATGCGTTCATTGTTACAAAAGGTGATCGTATTATTGAAATTAATAGTAAACATAATCATCCACGCAAGTAAATCATTATACCTAACGATACTGTTAATATTTGTGTGTTCATGAATTATTGTATCACGTAGAATTTCTTCAAATATCAAAATTGACTTCTACAATATGAAATATAACTTTTTAAGTGTCTTTTTAGGTAGAATAACTTGTTGATTACATGGGAATGTGCAACGTTTTCTTTATACTGTTTTCGCATACATTATAATGTTATTGTGTATTTTCGCGATGCTATCCAAATCACAAACACTGTTTTCTAATAATATAATTTGTTATTTAAATGCATTTTGCAAGATTAAAATACATGTTAAACTTTTAGGTTAAAGCATAGCATTTTAATATATCAATGATCAACGAATTTATCTTTTTAGACATGTTTCAACTGGATGAAGCACGTTCCCTTGTACCTTTTACCTATCTAATTGTATGTAAGTGTAAATGTAGATTTGAAGTGTATACTTAAATAACTGTTGTGATTAGTTTTCGTTAAGTACATTTTAGCAGGCTTAGATAAGTGCCTTTGCATTGTATCGAAAGGTTAATTTATGGGACTGATATAAGAAAAAGAAATATCATGTGACTAGATTGAAATGGAGGACAAATGTACCTCTTTATTCGAATTCACCAAATCACTATTTAAAACCTATCCAAGGGATATTTTGTTTGGCACAATTTTAAAATGCAAAATCGAAAATTTTGTTGCCTGACAATAATAATAAAGAATAACTTCCAATAAACTTAAAATGGATACGACACACACTTTTTCAACTTCGTCAAATGTTAAGGGTTCATAGATTACGTGAAAAATTTATATAGTGCCAATAAGTAATCTTTTTTTATTTACGTAGTATTTGTTAAATAGTGCTTAATTTTTAGTTATTTTTTTATTTAAGACGGGTAAAGCCTGATCTTTCAGACGCACGAAGTCCAGAATCATAGGAGGAGAATAGGAGGAGGAGAATATTAAACAAGTAAATATTTAAATCGGAACTTCTAATTATCAATAAAAAATGTATAATTTCAAAAACGCAGATTCATGTAAAAAAAAATTTAATATTTATATTATTTACTGAGATTCGGTTCGACCCCTTTTTAAACGCTTGACGTAATTAATGAACGCTCCTTAAATAATTTGCTGCAAAATATATATATAACTAACAAAGAGAATGGAATTCGCTTAATGTTTATCTTATCTGTTTTTGTTATGAAATCAACGCCTTTGAGAAATAATAACGTTAAGAAACTTTTAACACTTGTCTAAGCCTGCAAATTCTAAAACATTTGATGTTTATTAGATAAAATATTGATATTGTATCGTATTAGGCAAACATTCACCTGTTTATAATTTGTATAAATCCTTCAATCCGTGTTTGTGGACTTCTAAGCAGATTATTTGTTATTTAAAGCAAAGACATCCTGGTCGTATTTAACCAAATCTAATATATTTTCAAATCAATAACATTCATCAAGGACAGAAAACTGTCGTAAGAAACCTAAACCAAGTCTCTATTTTTCTTCTATTTTTATCGCTGTCAGATAGTCTTTCTTTCCTTCCTTTCTCTATCACCAATCGATCATGAAGATTGTAGGAATTATACAAATAAAATTCGCCCTGTATAATATTTCACATATTATATGATTTGCGGTCGGTATTGTTAAGAGTAAGTTTGGATAAGAATATCAATTCTATAAAAGAGAATCATAAGACTGTTTTCCACCATGGAGAGAATGTGGGCACATGTTTTTGGGCAGCTTTATTCTTCTAATGTATTATACTTTTGGAACCAACTATGCTTGTACAGGGTACTTCGCGGTTCTAAACACTGTAAACCCCTAAATTATTCCTCTTTAAGCAACCCTGGCTGTGGTAGTGATTTACTATAAAACTATATGTGTGTATATATATATATATATATATTGTTAGGTCACCGAACTAAATTAATATGTATTACGAATTTGATTACAGGAATTAATATCTAGTCAATCGGTGATTTATTAGGCCAAAGGTAACAAGCCGAATTATCTACATATATATTGTATTAAATGTTATGTGGTTGTAGTCGATGTAATAAAAGTACATAATGAAGCTAATGTTTTGAACTGTTAATTTACTTGTATATGTTAGATATTTTTGATTTCAAAAACAAACGTGATAAACTCGAGACTTATTCAAAAGGCTCACAAATACCTTTTTTGGTGCGGAGGAAGGTCCTTCGGATCTCCAGCTCCTTGGGGATACGGGAGCCAGGAGTATGTGGCGTGTTCACTACAAACTACTCTGACGGCCGGCCTCAGGAGCCTTATTTAGGGTAGGACACAGACCATGTGATTTCAGGTCTCCTTCCGGATCGACGCCGCACCTAATAGTAAAATATTATGGGGAGTTTTAGAAAATTCGCCATAATATTTTACAATTTTTTCGCGATCTGAAAACAGGCAGATTATATGTCTTGTTATTTGATCATCATCATCAACAGCCTTTAATAGTCCACTGCTGGGCATAGGCCTCTCCTCAGAAAAGAGGTTTGTTATTTGATAGATATGTATTTTAACTTGTGAAACTTGTGAGAGCCTTGAGTAAACATTATGATGCACAGCAATTTAAATATCTAGTGTCGAATAGTAAACGATATATCTAAATATGGTCAGAGCTCTGTAGTAGTAGTAGCCTGTGTATACTAGTATTAGTCATACTATTGAACGTTTTTATATACATTAGGTATGTACGTCCTAAATATCTCCGTGGGTAATGAATTGATCTGATTACCCTGTGTGTATATTGCAGTATTGCAAGGATTAGGTCCCACTAAATAGGTCTTAATAGGTCCTATAGGTCCCACTAAATAGGAGACGAGTCTACCTAAAAAGTTCAAATTCCACGTGCTTAGTGTACTCGTATTAGGTCCAAATTGTAGCAAAATAGTCCTCAAACTAGAAATCGTACATCCAATCCAACGAATTTATAAAATGGGTGCAACGGCTTTCGTATATAGAAGCCAATGTTTTAATATATATTTCATTCTATTTCAGTGCAAATCTTAAAATCTTTGAAGGGCAAACCTCTCATAAGATTAAACAGCTACACATACCACGCTACTCCTTCCAAAACGAGCAAAATAAGATGGCGATGTTCTACACACAACCGAATGAGTTGCAGAGCTTTTATCATCACCGTGGATGAAGAGATGATAGCATCTAATGAACAGCACAATCACACACCACCTCGAGCTACATAAAATTGAGAAACAAGAAATTTTAGTACTTTAATTTTAATTTAGAATCTCGGAAGTTAGATCAGACTTGAGAAAAATAAATTTACTCTTTTATTTTGACTGGAACTATAAGTATATTGGCTTAAGTTAACTGGAATCGTTATCAGTGATGTGAATAAACAACTGATTTTGTAATTCAGACTGTAAATTACTACTAATCTATGCAAGCAAAGAGTTTTAGAAATAACTCAGGGCCTGGTAGTTGCAGTATCCATCCATCGGGTCATAAAATTTTGATCGTCCTGTGTCTAGTGCACTTTTCTAGACGGAAGGGCAGTTTGCTCACCTACAACTACAGAGTGTGTAAGTTCGACGGGTGCACTTATAGTAAGTGCACCCGTCGAACTTACTTACTTACTCACTCTGCATCCACCTCACCGAAAATAAGATGGCAATGTTCTACCCACTACCCTCAAGGTTTTCGAGCGTACATTATCACAGTAGAAGAAAACATTATAGCATTCCATTGTAAACATAGTCACCCAAAAAAGTTTTAAAGGCAGTATAAACTAACTTGATGTCAGTTATTTATTTACAATGCATTGGTCATTTACACATATTAAAATAAATAAAATAAAATGAGCCTTTATTACTGTTACTCTCTACAATATTTTCTTAAATGTTATACTATTTACATTAATACTATACTTGTTACACCGTTGTGGTCATTATAGTATATCGGTAATCTCTTTGTGTGTAGCAGCTTGTCTCTCGACAAAGGCCTCCTCCAAGGACTTCCATGCGGTTCGATCCCTAGCTATTCGGGTCCACTTAGCGCCCGCCATTTGTCTGAAGTCGTCTTCCCAACGTTTACACTGTCTCCCTCTATTTCTTTTGTCGCCCATAGGACACCACTCTGTTATTATTTTTGTCCACTTTTCTTTCGTATCCCGTAACATATGTCCTGCCCAACGCCATTTTAACCTTCTACTAACGATATGCGCATTTTTGAATTTAGTTTCTGTTTTAATTGTTTCCAATTTCACTCTGTCCCTTCTTCTTAATCCTATTACACTTCGTTCGATGCTGTTCTGGCACACTTTTATTTTATTTGATAGCTGATCTGTTAAAGCCCATGTTTGACATCCATAAGTTAAGCATGGGAGTATGCAAGTGTTATATACAGTTCTTTTAATTTTTATGGACATTTCCTCATTTTTCATTATTTCACTAAGGCTCCAAAATCTTTTCCATGTCTTTGTTATTCTTCTATCTATTTCTTTAGGCATGTTGTCAAGGGGTGATATCAATTGTCCTAAATATATGTATTCATTAACATACTCTATTTCTTTCTCGTTAACCATTATAGCATCTAAATCTGATTGCTGAGCGTTAGTCATTATTTTTGTTTTGCTTATATTCATTGACAGCCCCGCTGTAGCACTTTCCTCAGCCAACTGCTGCAGCATTCGTTCTAATCGCCGTGAATCTTCAGAAAATAGTATTAGGTCATCAGCAAAGCGCAAGTGGTTTAATTTTTGGCCATTGATGTTAAGACCTATATCTTCCCATTCAAGATTTCTGAAAATCATCTCTAGAACCGCCGTAAACAATTTTGGTGAAACCGGATCTCCTTGACGAACTCCTCTTTGGACTGGGAATGGTTCTCCTGTTGTTTCGAGCTTCACCTGGGCTGTGCTTCCTGAGTAAATAATGTTCAGGATTCTGATGTATTTCATTTGAACCCCTTGGCATTTCAGGGCTTTCCATATGTATTTATGTTCCAGGGAATCAAATGCCTTGTGAAAGTCCACAAACCCTATGTAATACGTTTTCTTGTATTCCCGATATTTTTGCAGGACCTGTCTAAGAACATGGATATGCTCAATTGTAGAACAATTACTACGAAACCCTGCTTGCTCTTTTGGTTGGTTTTCATCCAATTGCAATACGAGACAGAATTATCTTGGAAAACACTTTGTAAATATTGGACATTAAGCTTATCGGTCTGTAGTTATTTATGTCCCCTTTATCCCCCTTCTTGTGAAGTAATATTATAGTTGATTTCATCCAATCAGGAGGTATATTCTCAGTTCTTAAAATTTCATTAAACAGATTTGTTAGTATCGGAGCTATGACAGATGCTGTAGTTTTAAGTAGTTCATTAGTTATCTGATCCGACCCTGGAGCTTTATCCGTTTTTTGTGAGTTTATAGCCTTTATTGTTTCTTCCGTTAAAATGAAAGGCACCGGTGCTGGGTTAAGCCAAGTGTCAAGTTTCTCTTTGTCTTCCGGCTGCTTCTCCGTGTACAGTTCTCTATAAAATTCTGTGGCAATTCTTAGTATTTCTTGTCTCTTGCTAGTGTAATCCTTGTCCTTGTTCTTTAGATGTAGCATCCAGTCTTTTTTATAATTCAATTCCTTGAAAGCTTTTTTAGTCCCTCCACTTCGTTCTATATGTTTTTTTAGTGTATTTTGCCTCCTAGTTTTATGATCTCTTCTAATGCTTTCATTAATTTCCTTGCTTAAGCTTGCTATTTTCTGTCTGTTCTTCTTACCCTCCTTTCCTTTCTTTATTAATTCTTTTCGTTGTTCTAGCAGTTGTTTGGATTTACTTGAGAGTAGTTTCTTTTTGGCTTCATTATTTATTTTGGTCGTTTCTGATTTCAATATGTTTAGCAAGCTATCGTATTTGTCTTGTATTGATATGCATTGCTCAATGCTATTTACACGTGTTTTAAGACAACTTAATAGCTTGTCGTTATTCCCCAGGCAGATAAGACTGTTCACTTTGTTCTGTAACCTTCTATTTCTCTTAATACGTGTCCCTCTTATTGTCGCTCGAACCATTCTATGATCAGAATTAAAATTTAATTGGTTTATTATTGATATGTTTTTGAATACTCGGCAATTGTTGGATAGAATGTAATCTACTTCATTTTTATATGATCCATTTGGGGAGATCCAGGTCCATTTCCTTGATATTTTTTTATTATAAAAGGTGTTTAGAATTTTTAATTTATTCTCTAATGCCAGTGTGACTAGTCTTTCGCCATTCTTGCTTCTTTTCCCATATCCGTACTTTCCTATCGTATAGTCTTCTCCCGGATTACATACTCCAACTTGTCCATTGAAATCCCCCATTATTATGATATTTTTGCATGAGTTCTGTATTGTGGTTTGTAAATCCTTGTAAAATAATTCAATCTTTGCTATTCCTTGTTTATTTTTGGGTTCAGTTGGGGAGTATACCTGGATACACTACATTACACATATTATGTGGCACCAAACAGACTATCATTAAACTCACGAAATCACCTCGTGCAGAAATTGCTTTCAACCTTTGCGTTAGACTGTGTATATACCTATATATTTCATATATAGGTATATATTTCATATATAGGTATATTATAGGAGTCATATATTTTGTTAGTTATTCGAATTAACCAAATTTTATATTGTACAATATACACGGTGTAAGAGACGTCGTAACGAATACTGAAATAGTGTATTCAGACCATCATTCTGAGTCGAAAATCATTGGAATTTTCTGCCGGAAAATTAAACTTTTTATGCAATCAGCTGTCAAAGGTTAAGGTTATTCCCCGTAGATATCGCACAAAAGTAATAACTATATGTGTATTCCGTGCAAACAGTCTACGCACACTAACACAAAATGGCGGCCGGAGGGGAGGCCCCGCGCGCTTCGGCTGTTTGTTTAAATGGTTTTCGGTAAAATGTTCTGTCTACTCATTGTGATATCATTTGTCATCAAAAACATCAAAAACAATTAATGAATTTTCCGGCAGAAAATTAGTATTTCTGAATATATTTTAATAAGCGGTTTTTTTCAAACAAATTCTTACAGAATTTAATTCAAGTACCAAAACCTTTTCTTTTTGGTTTTTCAGAAATAGTTTACTTTTTATTTTTGCTATTTCATAATTTTATGTGAAATTAATATGATTAAAATAATTTCACAGAGAAGCAACGAATAATCTTTTTCTTCCTTCATTCTGTGTTTCTTCTTCTTTCACATTTTACTTTATATATTTTTTCAGTGCACTTCATAAAATCGCGAAAAGGAAAGCTTCTTATCTTGCTAAGTGGATATACCTACCATTCCACGCCGTCTAATACTCTCAAAGTACGATGGCGATGTTCTACTCACCATTCTATGGGATGCAGAGCGTATATCATCATGGTCTATAATCAGATTTTGGAACTTAATGATGAACATAATCACGAGCGAAAACTACTCGTACATTAAACTACTACTATATGTTACATGACCTGATACAAAAATGTCGTCAGTCAACTAAATGAGCAATCGTTATATGGGATTTAGTAAGTACATACTTACTGGGTTTTAAAAACATATCAGTATTTAGCATTTGCCTAAGTAAACCATATATATATTAAGATATTCAATTTGAATAAATTTAAGTTTGATAGACTGAAAAGTAATAAACAAATTATCCACGGCCTATTTTTGTTTACAGATATTTGTAGGCGACACGTCTGTATACAATGAATATTCTTTTACTTCTAAATAAACATAAACCCTAAAATTATCCACCATTTAATAAGTAAACTGTTTTATTTTGTATTCTCGCGCTTTAGTGTAGTTATTTTAATAGGTGGACTATTATCTCTTAAAGGCAAACAGTTAATTATACTAAGGTGATCAGTGTAAGATGGCGGTTGATCGAACATAAAATGTGATCGGGCCGCAACATTTAGTGTTCCTCTGGCTTCCTCCGTAATGTTTAATTTACAGAGCGTTTTGGCTGTTTTTTTTAAATAATTTTACATATAGCACATACTTACATAAATGAAACAGTTCAGCATCTTTTTCTTCTATTTGTCAATTTATTATCTTTTTCTTTTGTTTTATGGTTAAGTTATCCATAAATCATTGTAAAGTGACTACCGCGGCCCACGAAGCCTGCAACTGAGGAGTCACAACTGCGTTGCCGGCCTTTAAGGAAGGAGTACGCTCTTTTCTTAAAGGTCTGAAAGTCGTAACGGTCGGAAAATAATCCAGGCGACAATTTGTTCCACAGATTGATTATAATTTTATATGTATTTTTTTCAGCTCACTTCATAATATCACAGAAAGGAAAACGTTTGATACGACTTAAGGGGTATACATACTACGCTATCCCTTCTAAAACAACTAAGGTACGATGGCGGTGTTCTACGCATCTCCCCCAGGGATGTAAAGCGTCTATCATCACCGTGGATGAAGAAATTATTACTCTGAATGATGTCCATATCCATCCGCCGTCTAACCTCAACTGAACATGTCCTTGTATAGTTATCAATGCTGCGTAGTCGGCAAAAAAAGGGTTTTGCAGAGTACGAGTACTAAGTACATTTTTTAAAACTTTCCTGGTAGATGAAATGAATTTCTACATTAATGACTATTTTGTGGTTTGTACAGATTTTATCCTATTCATACAAGTTAAAATTGTATGAGCAGTGTAGAATATTATTTGTTTACTTTTTATTCTATCACAGTGATTAACAAATGAACGGATTGCGTGGCAGCTGTACCGGCTATAAGCCGTCAGCCTTGAGCGGTGTCACCTGTTTGCAACCCTATTTTCTTTACCATGTACCTCTGATGAATTGTGGAGCTGATTGTCAACTGGGAAGGATAATATTTCAGACCGCGCTGTCAATAAGACAGAAATTTCCTACGATATCGTGTATTGTTCTACTGAGCCAATAATCTGCATAGAAAGATTTATGTAGATTGTTGTCCCAGTAGTATCTTAAAAGGATTAGAAGTTTCTCAATAAAGAAAGTAAAATAAAAATATATTTAAGGAGTCATTGCTCTTATTTATTTGAATTATTTGATAACAAGTTACTTTCATTTATATTTAGTTTTATTTCCGTGTGTAATAAAAAGGATATATTTCATTCTAATACCATTACCATTTCTTGGTCATATCATTTATACATATGATTTATTTCAAAACTATAACGATACATCGTTATAGTTTTGAAATATGTCAGAATTTAAATAAAACACACATTCAACATGACCTCAATTTCGTAATTCAAAAAAAACTAAATAAAGCAACAACAGTAAGCTAGAAATACAGATCATTTTGTGACAATACAACTAAGTCTATAAATACTATCAAAATCATTGTACTGGTCATACCTCAAAACTTGTCCTATAAACTGGTTTTATGTTTGTATAAAATTAATTGTGAAATACAAAACAAATATGACGACAAAGAAATACCAATGTTATTAGAATATGGTATTTATTAAGGATATAATTATTAAGGATATAATAGGAGTCTGAAACAATTTGCATAAAGCAATAAGAGAGTGCGATGTCAGAATGTACTTATAGTTTTATTTTTATTATTGTAATCGTATATATATATTAAACACTTTTTGTCGTGCATTATTACAAAAATAATATAATAACTTATTTAATTTGAGTGTTTTACTGCCTGATATATTATGGTCAAAAAAATGTCCGGGAATTTACTTAAACGATATTTAACAGCTTGTACGAACCTCGTACTCTACAATTTTTTTTCAGAACAACATAATCGCATTTGAAACTTTTAGAAATAAAAACTATAATATATAATCAATTAAAACAAGATTCCCAAACCTGTACTAACTTATCATTAAGTAATCCAAATCTATATTTAAATATTTAACAATAAAAAACACTGAATTAAACTGTCTATGTATAATTTTTAAAATTTTCTCATGCTGCTATATTGTTGAACCACAAGATTTTTAATAATTAATAGATTTAGTTATAAATGGTAAAATTTATCAAAACATATAAAATGTATATTGCTTACAGGTCCAGAGTTCATTGTGTGTATGAGAGGTAAATATGTAATGAAGTTCAAGGACCACACTTATTACACATTCTCAAAGGGCTCTTATAAAGTGTGTTGGAGTTGCTCCATGCAAAGTAACTGCAAAGCGGTTGTCTATACCTATGGTAATAAAATATACGGTGTTAAAGGAGAACATATACATGAACAGTAAAGTACTTTATTTTGTTACTCAGTGTTTTAAATTTAAATATGTTTACTTTTTAACCATAAATATATTATTTTATATTTTATAATAAGGTTTTTTTGATGAACAGTTTGCCTGTTTTTTTTATTGTTTAAATTTTATTAATGAATTCATTTCTTTTAAGTATCGAACACTTGTTTTATTTTATGTTTATCGGTTGTCTGGTTATGTTTTTTTTTATTACGTGTGGAAACCCCGGTGGGGTTTGCGGCGGATTGGTGTGTCGGAATCGGGCCGAGTAAAACCACACGGTGTGCCTCTAATAGCAGGGATCCAGGAACTGCTGTTATTAAGACATCCGGACCCATACTATACATACTATCCGGACGCCTGCCCGCAATGGCGCGGGCACCACTTTCGGACAAATTCTAGGCGACGTTCGGCACACGCGGTGTCGCTACCTCGCGGTAGGCCGTTATGGCAGTGTTGGACGCTAGCCTGGCGTCCGGACGCTTCCCTGAGCGCTGGAAGTGCGGCAAGCTGGTCCTGCTGAGGAAGCCGGGACGGCCTACCGATTCGGTCGCGGCCTATAGGCCTATCGTGTTGCTGGACGAGGCGGGTAAAGTTTTTGAGAGGATACTCTCTGCCCGCATCGTCCGGCACCTTTGCGAGGTTGACCCCGATCTGTCGGACGCCCAAATCGATTTCCGAGAAGGGCGTTCGACGATCGATGCCGTGATGCGCCTTTGGGCCGTGACCGAGGAGGCCGTGAGCTGCGGCGGAGTGGTGTTGGCTGTGTACTTGGACATCGCCAACGCCTTCAATAGTCTGCCATTCAGCTGCATCAGGGAAGCGCTCCGCTACCACGGAGTGCCAGAGTACCTGAGGTGGCTAGTGGCAGACTATTTTGAGGAGTGAACCGTCATGTACAAGGACCGGGCTGGGTGTAATCTGCTACGCGGATGACACTTTAGTCACGGCCCGGGGGGGGCTAACTTCCAGGAGGCGGCGCGCCTGGCCGCCACAGGAGTTTCCCTGGTGGTCGGGCGCATTGAGGCGTTGGGATTACGGGTGGCCCTGGACAAGACGGAGGCCCTACTATTTCATGGACCCCGTCGTGGTCCACCCGCCGGCGCCTCAATCGAGGTCGGCTCGGTCCTCGTACCGGTCCGGGCCCAGATGAGGTACCTGGGTCTGGTCCTAGACGATAGGTGGCTCTTCGACGAGCACTTCCGACAGCTTTGTCCAAAGCTGGTGGACACTGCCTCCGCCCTAGGGCGACTTTTGCCCAATTTGGGCGGGGCCAGTGTTCCCACGAGGCGGCTGTACGCGGGGGTTGTCCGGTCCATGGCGCTGTATGGTGCACCGGTGTGGGTGGCGGCTCTGACCGCCCCAAATAGGACGCGCCTCTGGCGCACCCCAGAGGATATTGGCGGTCAGAGCCATACGCGGTTACCGCACGGTGTCCACCGAGGCGGCTTGCGCCTTGGCCGGAACACCCCCGTGGGATTTGGAGGCGGAAGTGCTCGCCGAAGTCTATCGGCGAGTGGCTGATTTCCGGGCGGAGAGCGGATTTCGCCCTCCGCCCGCTTCCCCCTCCGCACGCGCTGGCTTCGCCGCCGTGGAGGCTCTCCAGCCGGTCGTCGCCGAGTGGGCACTCGGACCTGCACACTGCAGAGAACCCCGGCGGGGTGACGGTCCGAGGGGATTTCCACACGTAAAAAAAAAACGGCCACGGCCGACTGCGACGAATTGGGTCCGATTGGAGGTTGTTCTCCCTGGCCCTTTCCGCCGCCTCCTTCTGCGAGATAACGTCTTCACAGTAGGATGCGACCGAGGTAAAACATATTATTATGTCACTACCGGCCAATGATGGCCGGTAGCGAGAGGTTCCCTCGCTACTGGCCGTCATACGCTGCGACGCCCAAGCCGGGCAAATTGCAAGCGTGTGCTGAGCCGAGACCTCACTGAATTTGCAGTGGTGACAGGTGGGACTCAATTCCCTCCTAGCGACCGAATGCAGGTACTTCCCTAAGCAGCTGTAACCGGAAAGGACCTACGTCAGTCGGAAGAAAAAGGGTCCTATGCTGCCGTCCTGCCGCCTCGACGATAACTGGCTGGAGCGCCTCCACGGCGGCAAAGCCAACACGTGGAACCTCCAGCCTGGACGACCAACGAGCCATCGTGGCTCGGCGAGCGGCCTCACGCCACTCGCGTACCTCTTCGGGCGGGGACCGACCACTACATGCCCGGAACTCAGCTGTCCGCCGATATACTTCGGCGAGCACTTCTGCCTTCAAATCCCACGGGGGAGTTCCGGTCAACGCGCAAGCCAGCTCCGTTGAAATGGTGTGGTAACCGCGTATGGCTCTAACCACCAATATCCTCTAAAGGCGCCGCGCGCGCGCTCTGAGGGCGAGGGAGTAGTAGTAACTTTTCTACGAGGAAGAAAAGACAAAATTAATTTAGACCTCTAAACTAAATATTTTAAATTTGTCCTGCTTAACGGTGTAGTACAAATTCATGCAAAATATGAATCAATGGGGATCACTAAGCAACTAATATATACGACCGTTAGGTAAACATAATTTGTTGTGATGATTGATCATTATGGTTTTTTAAATGATTTTAAATGTTTAATATGCTTTTATTGTTGTTAACTAATACGTGCTATTTTCAACAGATCCAGAGTTCGTGTTATCAAAAAAAGGTAAACGAATGCTGAAATTCAGAAATTACACTTATTATGCGACATCCGAAGGGCCGAAGATTCGTTGGAGATGTTCAAGTCGAAAGGGGTGTAAGGCTACTGTGCATACATTTGAGAATACCATCATAAACTGTAACGGAGATCACGCTCATCCACCAAAGGGCACAGACCTTTACCACCACTTAAAAACCATTGTATATGTGTGATTGATTGATGTACCCAATTTTATTTCTTTTCTTTATTTTACTGTAAAATTTAAAACTATTGCAACCCGTTTGACCAGCGTGGTATAGTAGGCCAAAACTTCCTTTTTAAGGAGATGCCTATGTAAAGCATTGGATTATGAAATGCTGTTGATGATGATAATGTTACCGTAAAAATTATATCTTATAAAATGTGCATTGATTGTAAATAAAAGTTTTAGGTACATAATAAATAAATATTACACATGGCAAGTTTATTAATTGTGATCCTAACACAAATTAGAGGACTCGGAATACCCGCTAATATCCAGTTTGAGTACACCACCATACAATATTACCAGAGTTCGCATTGCTGTACTTCCTACTAACAACTCTTTCATCCATCCCTCCATTCGTATAAGCAATGTCCTTTTCCTTTTATTGTTTTTCCTTTCGTTTTGTAAAATTATGCCACATTACGATAAACATTTTCATACCGCATTTTGTCTGTTTTAAGTTTTTAGTGACGCTATATTTTACTTAGATAGAGCACCACTACACTAGAAAACTAAATTATTGTATAACTCGTCCTAATTATCTCGAAAGTTTGCAAGGAGTTTTACGATTTCAAATTTTATTTTCGTTAAAGTTGCAAGTGGCAAATTAATTATATTTTACCTAGCTTCAAAGCAAAATAAAATAATTAAAAAATGTTATAGTTTATCCAATAACAAATGTTTAGTGTTTGCATGAGTGTCCTAACCAGCCAAATCTTTTGATATGATCTTTACAATTATTTTTTTAATTTACAGACTTTTTAGATTTATTAGAGACGTTTGAAGTAGCTCTTTCTGAAGAAGCTGCAAACAACGAAATCCAAAATTTACAAAACTCATTAGACTTAGGAAACATGAATTTCGAAGAATCTGCAAATTTAGAAGCTGTAAATTCCCAAGAGTCTACAAATTCAAGGGCGGAAAATTTTCAAAGACCTGCAAATTCAATGATAGCTATTTCCCAAAGACCTGCAAATGTAGAAGGAACAAACTTCCAAGAACCTGCAATTTTAGCAAATAATGGATCAAGGTCAAACTCCTCAAGTCCAGTTAGAGTTACATACGTATACTCTCGGCGAGGAAAAAAATTAGTGTTAACAGAATCAGGATTCACTTATTGCTATCACGCGACACATAGACAGAACAAGATGCACTGGGTCTGTTCAACTCATTATTCAAGAGGATGCAGGGCTGATGTGCGAATTCAGGGAGATATCATATTAGAAGAAAAGAACACACATAAACACCGACCGAGAACTGTTAATTGGCTGAACGAGAGACCGATGAATTATCTAAATGTTAGTGCACCACCAATACATACTGCTGAGCCAACTGCGGGTACTTCTAACGGTCATTAAAAAGCTTGAAATGAAATCAGTGGCTACAGTTGTCAGAAGTACCTACGTAGTAATTCAATGTTAATCTGTACACTTCCACAACAACATGCCCGATATCACCATTAGCTATTAGTCAGGTTTGTTGTATATTTTCAAAAAAGTCAATGTTGCTTGTAATTTTAAGTTTACAATGGTATTTTGTTAGTTATTTATTTTTGTTAAAAAAGTTGAGAAAAACCTGCTTAACTTTCTGTTACAACGTGAAATATTTTTCATGTGTGAATTGTTCTTTAGGCATTCATGTACTTGAATTGTATTTTCATGTTACTAGTGACAGGCTCAGAATTTATAAAAGTATTTCTTTTATTCTAGTCATTGATTATAAATGTTAGATTTCTATCAGATGTTAAGCAAGCGGCGGTAGTTAAATGGCTAAATCTTCGAAGTGTGCAATTGATTGGGTGTGGATTCGAACCGCATTAAATTTATTATCGAAGTGATGGATGACGATCAGCTAAGCTAAATACTTTTAGCTTAGTTGAAGTTGGGAAGAAGATTCTGCGTGTACTATTACTACTATAGTCCTACAAGGATCTTTTAGCATCTGCCTTAGAGTGGAACTATTTCTGAAATACTGTGAAACATCTATAAGTCATTTCAGCCCTATTCTGTAATTCAATACAATATCGCAACATACGAAATGAGGTGTGGCTACCGGTTCTGGACGGAGAGAATAAGGATAAAACCAAGCAAATACATAAAAAAGTAGCCTAGAGCGAAAAAAGGAATAAAAATAAGAACTAACATCAAATTTGTAAAGAAAAGCCGTACTCAATTATAAATACCGCCCCGCCAGTGACTGGACATTATTAGTGGACACGTATGAAAATTATTACGGAATTCCGGAAGATATCTGTGCCTCGGCGTCCAAATCAGACATATTTCTTTATGCATTGTCAATTAAGCGTGTAGTACTGGCAGAACTCACGGTGCCGTGGGAAACGAACATCCCTAAAGACTACTTTTTTTATGGAATAGGAGGCAAACGAGCAGACGCATCACCTGATGGAAAGCTACTACCGCCGCACATGAACTCGCAACTCAGGCGTCACAAGCGCGTTGCCAGTCTTTGAGTAAGGAGTACGCTCTATTCTTGAAGGTTTGAAGGTCGAATCGGTCCGGAAATACTATAGCCGATAACTTATTCCACAGATTGGTAGTGCGAGGCAAAAAGTGCCTTGAAAAGTGGTAGAGCACCAATTATCCAAGTGGTAGGGATGAAAATTTTGTCGTGTGGAACGATGGCGGAAGGTTGCGGCCGGTTTAGTCCGAACAATGCCTCGGAGCACTCTCCATGATATATACGATAGAGAATGCAGAGCGAAGCTACATCTCTACGTAACGCCAAGGGATCGAGCCGGTCGCAAATCTTTTGGCTATCGACGATTCGAGTCGCTCTTCTTTGGATACGGTCCAGACGGAGAAGCTGGTACTGTGGTGCCCGGGCATAGAGATGAGAACAGTATTCCATATGCGGTCGGACTTGCGCCTTACAGAGTTGGAGGCGATGGGCTGGAGTAAATACTACCTCGATCTTCGAGGACAATTTGAACTTACCACGAAACTTTACTTCGCTCGATATCTCGATGTCTTGGATTGCAATACTGGCTGAGGCAGTTAGGAAGGTGTTCTCGAACCGAGGGGATACGACAAACGGTGTCTTTTTTGTAAACGCGCAAACCTGTGTCTTTTTTGGGTTAAAATGGTCCAGATTCAGTCGACCCCAAGCTGAAACCTCCACTAAGGAAGCTTCAACTTCAGACACAAGTTCTTTTTGACTCTCGATGACGTTTTCCCGAGAAATATTGGGACGGACGGTATAAAAGACATCTCCCGTGCTATCATCTACATAGCAACGGATGCCACTAGTTCGTGACATATCAGTGATATGCAGAAGAAACAGTGTGGGTGATAGCACACAGCCTTGTGGGAAACCAGCATTTACTGACTTCAAGTCGGAGCGTGCACCGTCGATAACGACCTTAATGTTTCTACCTGCAAGAAAACTGGTGACCCAGTTACCCAGTTACTGCCACACCCGATTGAAGGCATTCGCTATGTTCGAGTTTACCGCACAAGCCTCCCTTGGTCTCGATCGCCTGTGCCCACCGGTGTTAACACAAGGAGATACCGATAAACGAGAAAATCACCAACTGAGCGACCCCGGCGAAAACCATATTGTCGGTCATTTAGTAGCTGGTGATTTTCTAAGTACCGGAGGAGCTGGCAGTTGATTACGGATTCCATCTTTTACGCTACGCTACGCTTTAAAAAGAAACAAGTACTTTGACGAACCAACGAAATAACTTAATATTGGTTATTTCGTTGCGTTGTATGTGGAAGTGGGTGCTAGGGTATACCAGCTAAATCCCTCTATAAACTGCTTAAAGACCTTGGATTGCCAAAAGCTTCAGTAAGCTCATTTCTTTAACGAATATCCAAAGCGGTATTGCTAGGCTCGTATCAAATGTGATTAGGTAGAGGGGGTAACGCAGCAGACAGTGGAGCTGAGCACTGACGCGTCGCAAGGAGTACTCCCTAAACCTATACCTGGGTCGCAATTCCCAGGCGCTGTCGAAGTCGCACGTGTTGCCACCATCTATCACGTGATGAACTCGGTACCCGCACGGTGAATCCATGGAACGCTAAGAATTAGGTCTAATCCACTTGGAGGAGAGTAAACCTCCCTCCACCCCCTCGAGAATCTCGTGCAGGTTAGGGTCGGACCCCCTTATTTGATAAAGGAAAAGGCGTTGCTTCTTTCTGAAATGTCACTTTGAATCTTAATTTTCCCCTGAGAGTTTAACATAATACTAGCGGTAATAAATTATGAAATGTCTCTAATTTTATAAATCTATCGATTTTATAATCACTTAGTGGACTTACTTATAAAGATGTATTCAATGTCTCTATATATAAGTTTAATATTAATGTAACTACACAGTGTCTGAATAAAGGCTTATATTATAAATGTCTCTAGTTTATCGAATTTAATAAATGTTTGGTCTGTATTATGAATAATTTTATGTGTACTTTATATAAATTTAATAAACTTAATTTTATATAAATTTAATAAATATCTTCACATACCGTTTTATAATCACTTACTGAACTTTTTATAACAGTATGCTCAATGACCTAATGTAACGAATTTAATAAGTATTACACCTAAAAATTATGTAGGTACCGTACATAAGTTAAATAAATGTCTGAATGTAGCGATTTTGTGATTACTTGCCGCTCTTTTTATAACAATATACTTGATGTGTCAATGTTTTGAAATGATTTAATGTTAGGTCTCTATAATGGTATTCCGTAGTCATATTTAAATGCATTTTTATTACTATATGTCTCAATGTCAGTCTCAGTTATGGAACTGTGAATATGAATGTAATAAATGTCTCAATGTATTAAACTTTATATGTAACGAATAAAGTAATTACATACTTTTAACAATTTTGATAAACTACTTTTTTATACTAAATATTTTAATATAATGTAAACTGTTCTATTCAGGTTTGAAAATTTATTTACAGATAATATAACGTACGTGTTTTCAAAACGAGGGAATAAAATGATCTTGCGGGAGTCAGGATATACTTTTTATCTTCACAGAACATCTAGGAACAACAAGAAGAGTTGGCTCTGTGCCACCCATCACTCCAGAGGATGTAACGCTAGTCTTCTGACATATGAGGAATATGTATTGAGGGAAAAGAATGTACATGATCATGAACCAAAAGTGAATTGGTTTAGTTGCAATCCATAAGTGAGTAGTTTTACGTAAAGGTTATAAGTTGCTCTCTAAGTCTAACTTTTTACTCTCAGTGGGCTGAAATACAGAAACACTATAGAGTTTACACTTACACATCACACACAGCTTTATAATATTATCTGTGTAATACGTGACTAGTAATTGTACCAACCAAACCTTAGATCAAACTCATTTCATCATCATCATCAACAGCCTATAACAGTTCACTGCTGAACATAGGCCTCTCCTTAGAAAGCAGGATTTGGCCTACCACGCTGGCCAGACGGGTTGATATAGGGTTTGTTTCAAGTTGGGGTGCTAGGCTAGAAGACCTCCCCGTGGTGCACCCTGGAAACGCTGGTGATGGCACTGTTTCCTCCTTGTCCACTTGGAGGAGAGGATTATCGCCAGCGGCTAATATTCTAGCAGAAGAGGAAGCCGTTCATCGGCTCTCGGGCAAGGCCTGGTCCAGAAGGGTGGGCGTGTCTGCCGGTTGCCCTGCTGGCTCTTCGCTCTTCGGAGCATGGAGGAGGAAACCTCGGTAAAAAACCGGATGGCGGGGCCCTGTAGGGGCCACAGTTTCTCCGCTGACAGCGGTGGAGAAAGGAGGACGGGCTCGGCGTGTACTGACACTACCACCGAGTAGGCAGGGGGACGTAGTCTCCCTGTCAACCGTCGGCATATCGTAATCCCGAGAAGAGCGCTGTGGTTAAGTCTCGCGGCTCTGATCGGGGGCGAGGGTCTTGGCTTAACGGCCCGGACCGCGAGGAAGATATCCTCTCTAAAAAATTCCCCGAATCCCGTGTTCTGGTGCGTGGCCAGGGGATGCATGGCTGATGGGAAGTTCAGTCTCGAGCGCACTCCAAGCCGAGGTACCTGCGGACCCCTCGGTTGGGTTAAAAACTTACGCTTGCCCGGGTAATGGGGGATCTCTGTCCGGGTGGACCTTTAGTTCTCCCCCACTCGTGGGATTTATTATGGAGCATATTAACAAAAATATAAAGAAACGGTAACAAACACAAAACAAACAAAAACAGGCAAGTAAAACGGACACTGAAACGAAGGAGAAGAGGAACAGTGGAGTGGATGGGTCATCCACGGAGGGTGAGATGGTATCGGGAACGCCTATCTCGGTGGGGCTCCCAGAAGTCAGTCTGACGCTGGTCTCTGGGAGCCGAAGAGCATCGGATCGTTTGCGTTCCGGATC